AGCGTGAACTAGGCGCGCGTGATGAAGATCATGTGTTCGGCCTTTCGACAAGCCACGCGAGTGCCTTAAATCGAGATAGGGTCTCGAAGATCCGCGTCCACAGTCCTTCGAAACAAGTAAAATTGCAATAGAATTCTAGGAAATCTAACCAAAGTTCTGAACAAAGTTCAGATTTTTTGTATTAAGAAGAATCAATTAATTCCTAAGTAACAATGCTTGCGCCTACTTATAAAGGCGAGAAACAAAGATCTAGACCTACTCTATTTAGGCCAAAAGTCCTACATAATCTAGAAGTATCAAATAACAAGGAAATAAATAACTATCTATCCTAATCTAGAATATTCTTGGCTTGAGCGCCAAGTAAGAAACCCTAGCCCCCATCCGCGTGCGATTTGTCGAGTTCCTCAAGGACTAGGACGTTCGCAGGCACGCTCACCCTTCACGTCGCCTATTCCTTCTATGCTTAGGATCGTGCGCGCGTTAATCCTATCGTCTTCGCCCAGTTACTTGCTCGCGCTGCCGAACTTGTCGCTCATGTCATCGTCCGCGCGCGCTTTTGCGAACGTACCATGCCTCAACAGACCGGCGACTAAGCCTCCGACGTGCATGGTACGCACGACTTGCTGCATTCTTGAGTCGCCTAGCCGTGTCCTCATCATTCTCGTCCCCTTCAAGTTCTTCCTTATCCTTAAGGATGAAGTCGGGAAATCTTTCGCGCATCTCGTCCCAACTTTCCCAAGTTGCCTCTTCACTCGGCAAATCTTCCCATTCGACGGGTACTTCCCAAAAATATTTTCCGGCCCTTTTGATTTGTCGATACTCAACCGCATGGCTTAGCCGGACCACAACTTGTACATCCGGCGTGACCACGGGTAACCTATCCCTTGCCGAATGCGCCTTGCCAAGACTTTGCTTGAGTTGTAAAACAAGTATGACCGGATGTATGTGAGAATCTTCCGGCAACTCAAGTCAATAAGCAACCTTCCCAACTTTGGCCAAAATTTTATAAGGCCCATAGTATCGAACCCCAAGTTTGGTCGCTGCCCTTTGTGCGGTCGTCTGTTGCCGAAATGGCCTCAGTTTCAAGAACACT